AGCCACCTAAAATTAAAAATTAAACAGTATTAGAATATCACAAAAAATTAAAATGTTAAAATCTTACAACATTGGCTTTATTCTCTTCCTCTACAACATGTCAAGATCTTGATGAACCCTTTCGTCCTGTTCAATTCTCTTGTATCATTTATCAAGCCAAGAAAACAGAATTGTCGTCTGCATCCTCCGTCCTAGCGTCCTGGCTTTTGGTGGCGTGGCGTCAGCAGGTCAACAACAAATGGGTGGTGCATCTGCACCGTTCCGAATTGCCAAATGATTGTCCCGTCTTTGTTAGTCAAATATATTTTTGCATGACAGAGACAAAGACAGCATATTGCAAATAAAATATATCTGCTAGCTTTATGCAACATTGAAAAAAAATATGTTTCCTATTCCAAAGTTTATATTGAAATATTTAGGTAACGTTTTTTATTCTTGAAACTCTTAACGTACGCAATATGTAAAGGTATCTGCAACATTACAGCGACAGTTTTAAGAAAAGTTGAGCTTATAATATTTATGCAACCATTTTCAATGTTACAAACGTAAATATTTCCGCAACATTAAAGCGACAAAGTTGAGAAAAGTTACATTTTATAACATTATTATAATATTTGCTTTACTACATTTTATAATGTTTCGAATATATTTCTCTATTGAAGTTATATCAAATTTATATCCCTCCACATTGGATAAGTAATATTTTAGAAAGCTCAACGTCACATTACGTAATAAATTTTCTAGCGTGAGGTCGATACAATATTGCTGACACATTTTGCAACATTACATGTTTAGTGGGAAAGATCACTAAATCACAATTCAATGTCATACTATCGACCCGTATTTCTCTAAATTATCCGTGTTTATTAAATCATTATTTTTCATTTTTCTGACGTCTAATTTATAGGTATTTACTGACTTGCTCCCTCGGCGGCCGACTCTGTTTTATAATGCGTCGTTGCTTCTAGAATTATCTAGATTATACAACTCACTGTACATTATTCCCATATGACACGAGAGGCTTAATAAGTGATAAGCCGTTTGGGATTATCGCGCTTGGTGGCATTTATAGTGAATTCTATCATAGATTTTTTTTTTTAATTTTAAAGTATTAAAGTTTAGTTCGTGGTATAACCTTTTGAATACCACTCGACGTTTCAGGATTACCTAATACTTCTACCTAACACTCAACGCGTTACCAGCAACACCACTCCTTCGGAGTCGTGGTGGTGCTGCGTAACGCGTTTCGTGGCAGGTAAAAGTATTATCCGGTAATCCTGAAACCTCTTGTGGTATTACATTCGATAACTCGCTTCGGTTCGTCTAGAATTCGCTATGGACTCTTCTATAGGTAACACTTTACCACAACTTTCGAGGATTTCCAGCTTTCTCGTATTTCCAGGCTTGAAATTCCAGCAAATAACGAGTAGCGTAGTATCACCCCTTCATCACCCATATCATTCATCACTGAGTAGAATTTAATACCGGCTGTTTTGGTTTTAGTTTTATTGGAAGCCTGGATACTTACTAATAGATAATAATGTATCATTAACACGTACAAAGGTAGAAAATCTGCTAAAAAGTGTTGATTTGCGGTCCTTGCTGTTCTTGGGTTATTAGGTACTTATGTATTAAATAATTTTGAAAGAACTATACCTACTCTGTTTTTTAATCTTGGGTTAAACATAAATGTGTTGGAATGCAATTATTATAGTTAGTTCATTGGCGTGCCTACATCACAAGAAAATTTATCGATAAGCCTGCTAGCAAATTACCATTACCTAAATTGTTAAACTCTTTCACCTGTGCCTATGGGTAGTATCCCAGACAGCATACAAGGTCTTGAAGACGTATTTTTTAGGCCTACATTACGTCTGAAAGTCTAAAGACTAAAAAAAGACGTCTAGAAGAAGTTCTTATGAAAATGTCCATAAGATATCGTAAATACACACACTCAAAGACAACTATTTGGTACAACCAGTGAATAATGGTTTATGTATTGAAAAGAGATTTAAAAATGTCTCATCGACATTTCGTTGAAGACGTCTTTAAATTATCTTAGTCCTTAAAACGACTTTAGGAGGCGTCTAAAAGACTGTATTTAAGACTCCTTGAAGACCTAAGCGTAAGCAAGACGTTTCGAATGTCATTTGTGGACATCTTGAAGATGTCTACAAAAATTTCCCAAAGAATTCGTTTATAATTGGATTGGTTTCTTCATTCAATTTAGAAGTTACTGAAAGCCATTTAGAATGATACACAACACTTTAGAACTTCAATAAGCCTTTTGGAAAGCTCAAATCACTTAAAATTCAATTCAGAATTTCCAAAAGCATTCTAGCCGCGCTTCAGAACATTTTGGAAATTTCAGAACCATCATTTGAGAATGCCTCAAAACATTCAGAAACCAATTTACAATTTCAAAAGCATTTTGAACAATCCAAAAGTTTTAAACCCATTTTTAGGACGCTCCAAAACACTCAATCTCCAGAATTTTGAAAAGCGCCAGAGCGTATTTAAATAGCTGTAGAACTTTAGACCTTTTATTGTTTTACAGTTCAAATCTAATTCAAAATTTTAAGGAACATTTTGGAACAATTGAGAAACTTCACAGTTATTTTAGAACAATCAATTAATTAGGATTCAATTTAGAACTGAAAACCTTTTAAAACTCTTTTGAACCAATTTAGAACACTTTGGAGCTTCAATAGAGCTCTAAAATACTTGAGAATCTGTCAGAACAATTTAGAAATTACTGAAAAACTTTTGGAATATTTCAGAACTCTCAAGCCAAGTTAGAACACTTTCGAACTACAATAAGCCATTTGGAATACTTTCCAGCAGCATTTTCAAAGGCTCTTTCGATTCAAATTCTTGAATTTTTATAATTTTTCCTGAGGCGCCTTGATTCTCGTCAGTCGTCAGTGAACCGTGCCCTACTATATACTTTGAGTGGTTGCAATTCGCTCTAGGTGAGATCGTTGATTTTTGTTTTGGAAAATTTACACGTGTTAATATTATGCCTCCGAAGCCGGTGTGACGTCACAGCCTAGGTGTTTGTCACTTTAAACTGTCCTAACTCGAAAACGGTTCATCGTAGCAAGATGCGGATTAAATACTTATTCTTAGTTTTTTTTGCACTAAAACTTAACCCGGAAACCTATTGTTCGGCGAGGGGATTTTTCAAGTGGACAGCAGATAAAGGTAGATCAAGACTTTCGCAAAATGTTGTATGTACGTGTGTACGAATGAGGCTGTCGTGTTTGGCCACTCTGTAATGGGTAACCGGGATTGAAGTTTGGTGGGTTAATTTGATTTATCGTACTTGGTCAATAAATAGGTTCAGAGCGCCTCTCCATATAACGTTGCCTACCACTCAAAAGCTAGCTTAGTCACATAATGGTCTTATAAGCGACGTCAATAGTTTACTTGAGCTGTGGTTTACTTTCAATATATGAGTTGAGACTCAACGACCTCAGGAAAGTTATGCCAACATTGGAGAATTACCCGTAGGTTACTTCAATTTTTATGAGCAGAGAACAGACGACAAACCAACATGATTTTAGTATTACCGTTGATTGCTATAAATATTAGCTAAGGGAGGAGAGGAACTATCATTATTTCTAGCTAAGAAAGTGCATGCAGAAAATGTAAATGAAGAATTGAGGAAGTTTGCGAAAATCCTTGAGGAAAAACATTCATCAAATAGAAAAAATTTCCTATAATATTCCATGATAAATTCAACAGTCACAATAAACAAATACTAATATTAACTCAAACTCCTAAATCTAGAATCCTGTGGATCCAATTTGCTATTAGCCCATAAAGATTTCACAAAAACAAAACAAAATAAATCTCAGGGAGTCTTAAAGCAGTCAAGTGGGTTTACCTTACTTAGGGGAAGACAATATTTACAACATTAAATATTTGTGCCAGAAATCAACATAGTTTTTGAGAAATATAAACGATTAGGCGGGCCAAGAGCAAATTTTGAGGTCGTTTATCTATCAGCGGACGCGCCTTCTGGTAGTCTTTACGTTTACGTGTTTATCTAATGATTTCCTTCAAAAAATTTAAACCTCCCTATTTCAACCTAGGACATAGAAAAAAATTATTTGGACATTTGAAACGACCAAAGCAAATCCCAAGAAACCACCCGTAGGGAGCCACAGGTGGAGCGATAGCATCTGAGAAAGACTCAATTTTTCTCTTTTTTTTTGTAAGGGTCATATTTCAAAAGTTTGGTACCTGGGTCCTTTTTTTTCTAAGACAGATTTATCAGATTAAGATTTATGATGGTTTGACTTCTGCAAAGCTTTTAAACTCTCAAAAGAAAATGTCTTTACTGTGATTTTTACAGCTGTTAAGACCTTATTTATTAGTAAGTACTTAAGTTTTATGGCATTTGCTTACGGTTAAACAGTTAAAATAATAATTATTATAAGTACCTCATGTGAAAACTATAAATATAAACTTTCAGTTATTAGTAGTCTTGAATAATTTTTTTAAGAAATTAGTTAAGCAATGGAAAATTCGTCTCGAATGCGATCGGTGCAAACTGGTAACAGTGGGAAAATATTTCTCAAATATGCATAAAGCCTATTCAAATTGACTTTTACACTGAATCATAAAAGTCATATCATACAAAGAACTTTTGTCCATAAAATCATTTATTACAGTTTGCAGGTATAGTACCCCCTGTAGCACTAAATTTATTTTAGCACCCCACACAAGATGTAATAAAAATACTTCGCACCATCTCTTTCTAGTTTACCCATCTTCAATGAAAAAGCTCCAACATTTACATTCAAGTCAACTTTGCTAAAATAGTAATAGAGAGTGAGTCAACAGAGAACCGCATAGGGCATCTTTGTTAGACTAATTCTATAGGCAAAGACAGCAGTAGGCATTTCTTGTTGGGCGCCCAAACCAGAAGAGGTACTATCGAGAAAAAGCTTTAAAGCTTTTAAATAAAGCTTGTGGCGCTCAGATTAGTTTGAGCTTTGCAGAGGGCTGGTTGGTGGTACTGCTATTTTTAAGCGGACGACCATGTGAGTCGGTTTACGCGCGTATATGTTTGAAATTTTGAAGATGTTTGTTTTTTGTGTTTTGGGTAAGTGATTTTGAATTGGTTTATTTGATACTTTTTTTTTGAATTTGATGTTGATTTTTCGCTATTCTCTGGTTTATAAATATGTTTATAATAAGTTTAACTCCATTATGCTGTTGGTCTTTTTACATTATTAGGTAGGTACTCTTGCCAAAATATTCAAGTTCTTTATGAATTTGTAAATCTCACATCATTCTCAAGGGTTGTTCAATGAGAAAATAGAATTTGGTTCTAATATGCATTCAAATTTTGCTTTGAAACTCCGCTACTTTTTAACAATCCAAAGATTTTCATGTTTTTACAATATTTTTTACAATTTTAACTAATAGTACCCGTTTAAATTTAATGTCCTTTGTCTAAATGTAGATATTTTTTCTCAATCTTTCTGTTTTTCTTCTACCAAATGGTGAGTCTTAATATTGGTAAGTAATTAATATTGTCACAATAATATAATTACAATTTTTCGACTCTCATCTTGACTAGTTTCTGAAGTTGTCTTCTTCTCTTTACAGCTAAGTTCAGCAGCTTCAAATTAAATGATGTTAAACTGTATAATAGCAATATTGAGCAAACTTGCCCCTGATGATGAAGGTCCATATAGCTTCAAAACATATGTAGGGCTCTTTAAATTTTCAATTTAAAAATTCGTGTAGAGGAAGACTTTGTCACTTTGTGTTTTCTTTTGATTTCAAATTTCAACTCCACTTCGAGTCATGAAATCCAAAGATTGCTAAAAATATACACCTAAATCGAATTATTGATAAAATTTGTTGGCAGCAATTATATATGTATTTTCCTCTTTTCCTGGATGCTACTCAATAGGTAAAAATAACAAATCTCAACATCATGCTTTGAAGTCTAACGATTGAAAATAGAAACTAATGGTTTTTATGATGTCGTTAAACATAATAATAGAATTTTGCCTACTTGCATAAGGTACCTTTTCAAATTAAACTTCCAAAAATCCTAATTCGTTACAAAAACAAATCCCCGGCTTCTTCGAATAACGATATACCAGAAAATCGGTCATTACTATTGTCTGTATCAATTATAAGAAAGCTACCATTTATTTAAAGTACAATTATATAGTTCTGTTTATTTTGGAGCAGCTTTAAACCGACAGGCTCGGTGCATATGCCAACAGTAAAATCCTGGATGCTAACAGATTAAAAAAATAAAGTACAAATATTTGGCACTTATTGCTTTGAAAATGTATTTTTACTTTTATGTTAATTTCTAGAAAATAGCCAACAGCTCGTTCCAAAATCATTCGATCCAGTCCATTACCTACTAATAAGTTTGCGAGAGTGTAGCATATTAAAAACGACTTTTATGCGAGGGGAGTATCCAGAATTATGGCTCCTGCGGCCGTAAATCATTCACTGAAAACAGTCTGAGGGTTTCGGTTTTATTCCTTGCATCCTGCATTCTCCAGTTACATTTTAACTTGGCTTCAATTTATCAACGGTTTTTAATTGGTACGTTTCTCATCGGGGTGCGCTTTTAATGACAGAATATCACAGGAAGCTTTAATGGTATGTGTGTCATTGAAAGAATTAGCGTGATAAGTCTAATGATTAATTTATAATTACAAATTGGAATTGATGATTTAGTTGGATGTTATGTGCACATGAAACAATTATTTACGTTGGAAATTTGCTTGTAGGTATTCCTGATCAAAAGCCTGAGGTTTGAGGATGTACGATTCAAAAATCAATAAATAAAGACTTACATTAGATTAGATTGCACCGAGGATTGCACTATTGCTCAATGGGCTCAGAAAGTTAAGCTAGTCGTATAGGTACCTACCTATAACCCTTTTATAGAAGTTTACTTATATTTTACATTTTAACTTCAAATTCTTTCAAACCTGTTATCATTTTTCTGACTCCTAGGGAATGCAAAAACGATCTCAAGTTGAAAATATTGTAATTGTACCTTGTTTGTCAACGTTGATCTTATTCCAGTTTACCAGTTTTTGAGAAAATCGATTTAAAATTAGAACTTAGTAGATATTCCAAATCCTATGACGTTCTCGAAATATTTGCTTTCGATTTAATTTCTTTTCAACTAATCAATTGACTCAATAGTGTATCAATACTTTTGACATTATCTCTATATAAGAAGAAGTCTAATGATAAGATCAGGAGATCGTACTGGCAATTCCATATCGATCCTCGCCTCCCTATCCACCGATTTGGAAATATTCGGTTGTGGTACAGCCGGACGAAAAAGGGGTTTTAAATGAGTAGCGAGTAGCTAAATTTTCACTTCAAAGTTTTAGCTTTGCCTCTGCCAAGTTAGACTTAACTATTTAGTTCCAGATACAGTCAAATCTTGATTATTAGTGACTCTTGAGCTTTGACTGTTTTTGGAAAAATCGTCTAGCGAATCCAGAGCCGGTAATAGTTTACTGTCACCGGCTCTTGATTGGTTCCAGGAGAATTTTCCAGCGAATCATGAGCCAGTAATAATTCAAAATGTGATTTTTTCTTTATTGGACAATGATGATGTGTGGATGAAACCGGTTAAAAAAAGTCGAAATTTCCATTATTAACTTCTTTTGAGTTTTGACTCTCCTTGAAAATAATCGTCTAGGGTATCCAGATCTGATAATAATTCAAAACTTGATTATCACTGGCTCTTGATTGGCTCCAGGAGAATTTTCCAGCGAATCGAAACCCAGTAATAGTTCAAATATTGAATAATACGACCCCTTGAAATGCTCTTTCAAAAATGGAAAGCTGAGTAATAGTTGAAATTTTGTTTATTACCGGGTCTACATTCTCTCCAGGAAAATTTCCCAGCAAATCAAGAGCCGGTAATAGTTCCAATTTTAACTATCACCGACTCTTGATTGGGACTTTTACAAGTTCTCCATTCATTGGAAAATGGCTCTAAGGAGCAATCAAGAACCAATAATACTCCAAATTACCGGCTCTTGATTCATTGTAAAATTGCTCTAGTGGTAATCAAGAGCCGGTAATAATCCAAATTATGATTTTCCTGGATCTTGATTCACTGGGAAAATATTTGGAAAATTTTCTGGCTTCCGATTCGCTGGAAAATTGATCTAGATTATTATCAGCTCTTGGCTGTCACGGTAGCATCTTTCCAGTTAATTCAAAGCCTTTAATCTTCAAAATTTGAACTATCAGGCCGGCTTCTCATGAGCGTAAACTTGACATAACTGGCGCAAATGCTGAATACGTGAATTTTGGAGCAACATTCACATGGAGTGGAGAATTTACGCCGCCGCGTATGTCAAAATTATATTTTTTTCCTAAATTTTGAAATGTTTCTTTGAATTTTGATTGTACAAATTTGTATTTGTTTTTGCTTTAGTTCCAAATAGCTACAAATATGGACAGTAAATCACAAAAATCAAGAAAACGAAACGGTTGCAACCTCTAAAAACCCTGAATTTTTACGCGAAAAGTTGAACTTTGCTCAACTTTTGGCGTATCTGCGGCAGAGTGTCAGCGTATCCAATATGGCGGAATTTTGGCCAATCAGAATTCTGCATTCAGGTACGCTGTCACGCCATAAATGTCAAATTACGCTCATGAGAAGCCGCCCTTACCCGCACTCGATTCGTTGGGAAATTTCAAAAGTTGGGACTGTTACCAGTTCTCCTTGCACTGGAAATTGCTCTAGGAGCAATCAAGAACCAATAATAATCCAAATTATCGGCTCTCGATTCATTGAAAATTGCTCTAGGCCCTAGCCCTTGATTGCCCTAGAGTCTAGGGCAATCAAGAGCCGGTAGTAATCCAAATTATGATTTTCTCTGGATCTTGATTCAGTGGAAAAATGTTTGGATTATTCTCTGGTTTCGAATGTTTCGATTCGCTGGAAAATTGCTCTAGAGTAGCAATCAAGAGCCGGTAATAGTTCATATTTTGATTATTATCAATTCTTGGCTGGCACTGTAGCATTTTTCCAGTTAATACAGAGCCATTATTCTCGAAAATTTGAATTATTACCAGCACACGATTCGTTGGAAAATTTCCATAGTTGAGATTACTAGTTCTCCATGCACTGAAAAATTGCTCTAGGAGCAATCAACAACCAATAATAGTCCAAATTATCGGCTCTCGATTTATTGGAAAATTGCTCTAGGGTAATCAAGAGCCAGTAATAATCAAAATTATGATTTTCTCTGGATCTTGATTTACTGGGAAATTGTTTTGTGGTCTGAATTCATCGGAAAATTACTCTGGAGCAATCAAGAGTACCAGTTCTCCATTCACTGGAAAATTGCTCTAGGAGAAATCAATAATCAATAGTAATCCAAATTACCTGCTCTCGATTTATTGGAAAATTGCTCTAGTGCAATCAAGAGTCGGTAATAATCCAATTATGGTTTTCACTGGATCTTCATCACTGGGAAAATGTTTGTGATGTCGATTCATTGGAAAATTACCATGGAGCAATCAAGAGTACCAGTTCTCCATCCACTGGAAAATTGCTCTAAGAGGAATCAATAACCAATCTCCAAATTATCTGCTCTCAATTGATTGGAAAATTTCTCTAGGGCAATCAAGAGTCGGTCATAATCCAAATTATGATTTTCTCTGGATCTTGATTCACTGGGAAAATGTTTGGATTATTCTCTGGTTTCGATTCGCTGGAAAATTGCTCTAGAGTAGCAATCAAGAGCCGGTAATAGTCCATATTTTGATTATTATCAATTCTTGGCTGGAACTGTAACAGGTTTCCAGTTAATTCAGAGCCATTAATCTCAAAAATTTGAACCATTACCGGCACTCGATTTGTTGGAAAATTTCAAAAGTTGGGACTTTAACCAGTTCTCCATGCACTGAAAAATTGCTCTAGGAGCAATAAACAACCAATAATAGTCCAAATTATCGGCTCTCGATTTATTGGAAAATTGCTCTAGGGCAATCAAGAGCCGGTGATAATCCAAATTATGATTTTCTCTGAATCTTGATTTACTGGGAAAATGTTTGTGCTCTGAATTCATTGGAAAATCAAGCAATTTACTTAATTAACGAAAAAAAAATCCGCTGGGGCAATATGAGAGGAATAAATGGACTGCCGATTGTCGAAAACTGTTACCAAATATTTGGCCCCGTTTAGAAATTACAGTGAATGCAAGAAAGGGGTAGTTTTCGATGTAATTTACAACTTCCCCGCACATTAGACAGGTCCGTGCTCGCTTAATTTTCAAGCAAAAAATTCGAACAAAAAAGCATTCGAGAGTGCATTTCATCAGCAATAATGTGGTTTTTGAAAAATTGAAATCGGATTATGCATTTGGCCGCTGCTGCATCAAATGCGCGAAAACACGTGAAATGTTGATTCAGTGACCTTGAATAAAAACATGCTAGTATTCAAGACGCTGCAGAAAAAAAACTATAGAAGATAGAAGGGTGCTGTCGCTGAGTTTTTTATAGCAAAAAACTTCAGCTACAACATTAATTTGAAACTTTTTGCTATTGGACCATCCCTTTGAGCAGCGTTCTCCATAAACCGCAAATTACCCCTAAAAACCACCCCTAACTAAAAACCCTATGGAAGCACAAGGTCGCAAACTTAATATGTTATTAAGCACATGAAAATGAACCGATCCCCCCCAGAAAATGTTAACTTCTAATTATGTTGAGGTAAACCCTCTTTTCAGATCCCCGTTTCTTGGACAACATGGCGAATATTTTACCAATAAAACCCAACCATTTTATCACGTGATTACGCTAGCAATGTCAACTTACGCTCATGAGAATTCGCCCCTATTGTTTGTGTTTCAAAGTTTCCAATGTCAAAATCTATCTTGGGAAAAAATAGACTGTAGGTTTATATCTCAGAAACTATTCAATTAATCAAATCAATCAAAAGTAAATTTTCAAAATTTGATTTTTGGATATTCTCAAATCCTATAATCAGATTGTTTTCTATCTACAATTCAAACAAAACAAACTCGCGAGTTTTGACTGCCCTTGGAAAAATCGTCTAATGAATCCAGAGCCGAAAATAGTTCAAAATTTGACTAGTACCGGCTCTTGATTGGCTCCATGAGAAATTTCCAGCAAATCCAAGAGCCGGTAATAGTTCAAATTTTAATTATCGTCTATCACCGGCCCTTGATTGGCTCTAGGAAAATTTTCCAGCGAATCAAGAGCCGGTAATAGTTCAAAATGTAATTAAGGGCGGCTATTTAGATAAAAATGTTATAGAACCGGCTCAAAAATCATTATGATAAGTTAAAATTTTGAGTTTTGACTGCCCTTGGAAAAATCGTCTACCCAATCCAGAACAATAGTTCACTGGCTCCTGATTGGCTTCAGAAAAATTGTTCAGCGAATCAAAAGCCAGTAATAGTTCAAATTTTGATTAGAACGAGTTGGTACGACCTCTTGAAATACCAGCGTATCTTTCAAGAATGATAAGCCAGTAAAAGTTCAAATTTTGTCTATCTATTGGTTCTACGAAAGTTTTCCAGCAAATCAAGAGCCAGTAATGGTCAACATTGTGATTATAAGTTTTTTTTAGAGCCTATAGTACCTACTGGTTCTTGAATGGCGGAAAAACTTTTGCGAAATTTCCATTATTAACGTCTCTAAAAAATCTACCTATATATTTACAGTATTTCTCTTTTTCAGCAATTTCCATTTTTGGATCACCATCTTCGGCTTCAAACTGTGAAAAACTGAATTCAATAGCTGCCTTAGAAGATGGCAGTACCGTGGTGGACACGAATGTGAAAATGCTCGCAGGAACCTGGATTTCCGAAGGGTAAGTTTTATATGCAAAATCATACTCGTTTTCGTTTCAGTAACCTCAAATCAAGTTTCCAATATCAACAATGACAATCTGAAAATTTACATTGGAATTTGCACAAAAAGAAACCTGGGAGGACCGGGTACTTCGGTTACCATAGTCTGGTCGGGGGTACCATAAATCTAAAGGTGTACGTTTGAGATGCCAAACGGCGACATTCTTTTCGTATACAACAGCATTCTCGTTTGCGACTTTTCGACTGCATTGATGGCTCGAGTGACAGAGACGAATCTTTTAATGGGTACATCGTGATGTCTTCAGAATTCGGTTATTTTTCATAAGATCATTAGCGTGAAAACTAAATAATATTTTTTGATCGGGAACTGTTTGGTTTGGTTGGGTCGTATAAAAAAAAAATTCATTTTAATATTAATTTTTTTCATCAGGTGGTCGTCTGGTCGACCCATGTTTGTTTAACCCCCTGTCGTTTTTAAAATATGGATGGTCAAATCCTTACTAAGCGGTCCATTCTGGTACAAAAGAATGGTTACCTGATGAGTTAAGAGGATACTGTCAGGAGGATTTTTGAAAAAGAGTTTATAAATCTGAGCTTTGATATATTCTATTTAAATATTATGCAGCATAACCCAATCCTCTTAATATTGTTTACCTGATTTTTAATTGAGTGTCCGTTGAATTAGAAGGATTTTCGATTGTTACAGTTAATACTGTTTCATGGCCATTATAATGAGCAATCTATATTTTTTGTTTGACATGTTGACTTTCCGATAAAATCATCTAAGATTCATAATTCAGGTTGTTCCTATAGGTACCTACTTTTTATATGTACGTTAACATGTGATTCATTTCCATATACCCCTTTAAATTGAGGTAATATTGAATGATGATGTGTTAGTACCTATGTGAGCGTCTAGAGATTTCCTATTTTTTATGGTGAGTCCTTATACTTTAGGTACCTACTCATCATTGGACTTTTGCAATTATAGACTGAGCAGAGCAAGTCAGAGCTTCAAAAAAATGTAAAGAGACAACCAAATCTTCATTCTCAGAGTTAAAACCAACAGAAAATAAATCAGTTGAAATTATTTCATCCTTAAACCAAAATTTGTCAAATCATAATAATATTAAATTCTCACTAGTTAAGTAGGTACCTACCTATCTAGTTTTATCGCATATAAAAAATCCAATCATTCGAAATCATGTAAGTATTAAAGTTTACCCACAACCAGAAGCACAATAAAGGCAATCCATCTTCCCATTTCGAGTAAACATGTTTATTGTAGTATCCAAATCTGACAGTGTAAATAAGCAGATAAAATTTTACGATTTGTAGTTGGTTAATCCATCTGGTGTATATTTGATTTGTTTAAGGCTAACACCCTGCGTTGATTTTTATTTTAGATGTGAAACTAGACCGGGTCCAGAATACGTATTGCGTTACTACAATTTCGAAGAAGACGGCAAGTACTTCCTGACCCAACACCATTACTGGGACGATTCTTGTTCTTCTCCGCAACTTTCTGTGCACTCTTATGGAAGAATCCAACTAAGAAATTCTTTGATTCAGCCCGGAGCTGCTTCGGGAATTTTTAAAGTTTCAAATATCACTGTTATTCCACAAGATGATAGTGCTGCAAGGGAACTGGACAAAACTGTGTCTATGGAGTGTCCAAGTAAGAATTATTATTTATTTTCAAATTAAAATTTACTTACTAGTTTTTACAATTAGGTCAGCCTTGGAAGTCTTGGAGAAAATATCAAGAGCACACCGTCTACGATTCAAGATACGACGAAAATAGGAAATTCAAACTCTGGTTGTCCACCGATAAAACCAACAATCAGTATTCAGTCAATAGCAAGGGCAGCAACGTACACTTTAGTGATATTTCATGCCTGGGTTCATTAAAATGGGCTTTTAATGAACTGAAGCTGCTTAAAATTCAATTGAGACCACTTATTGAACAAATGAAGAAAGTGCCAAGAGAGGTAAATATCTATTATATAATACATACCTGGTCATAGGATGAACATCTAACTTTGTATATATTTATTACCACAATCTTTAGTCAATTTCAACTCCGAATTGACCAGCTTCTGATATGCTATTGTTTTTTTCCTTTTTCCGTGAATAAATTTGTTCACTAGCTACAAAGTTCAAAATTTGAGAGACATTCAGAAAATCAGTTATGTATCAATTACTCTCTAAGGCCTTGGTTTAAGAACCTTCAAGTCCTTCTACAAACATCAATTTTGCTTATTGTGTCATCGTTCCATATCCAAATACCCTTTGGCAACAAAACACAATATTTAAGAAACATTTTTATTTCAGGTCAAAATGGAACTTCTTCTAGGTGATATTCACTCGAATTATAAGCTGCGTCAGTACTACACGCCAACCAGCTTCCAAGTACCTCTAGTAAAACACGTCAAAGAACCAACACAAGTGTTCATCAACCGCCATACGTTCACTATACAAAACACTCACGCAATTCCACACAATTTATTCAGCAACTCCAAAACGCCTCCGCATTTAATCGAAAAGCCTCACTTGCCTCCTTACATTTGGGGCCAGTGGACATCGACCAGATGCGAATCTAGACCTGGAGGAAATTTATATCTGACTAGAAAGTTTTCTTTTTACTCTGAAGATGCCACTTGGATTGGCGAGCACAATTTCTATTCTGACCCTTTTTGTAGGATACCAAAGTTTATTGTTACAGCTGCTGGGCATTTTGTTTTAGAAGGCTTAAACAGGGAACTCAGAGGCACTTCGAATATAGATTTTCAAATAGAACGAGCTAGTTTAACAGTTTTTGATCAGAAAATGATTGTCGACATGAGCCTTGCTGATTTGTGTGGGCAAGGTGTATGGCAAGTGAGCGTCCCTAAAGAATTATCCATTACAGGAGGCTGTTTTCCATTAGGAATAAACATACCATCCATGCAATACGATATTGTTAAAATGGAAATGGACTATAGAGGGGCCTGTTTATTGTATTTAGGGCAAGTGAAAACTGACCTAATGGAAACTAATGAAAAAAGCAATAGACCTTCGTCTTTTCAATTGCCTTTGGTGAAATGCGGGGAGGTGCCAACTTATTCTCAAGGGTTGAGGGATATTTTGAACGAGCAAGTGTATGGATATAATAAAGGGCTAGGGGTGAGAATTGAGCCTTTAATATATCTCTTGGGTATGTTTTGCTATTTTTTGAGGTAACATTTATATATATATTCGATTTTTTAAACTGTGATATTTATTGTATAAAAAATTATTATTTGTTTGTATATAATTATTAGAGGGACGATTAAACCAGTGATATGTAAATATTATGCATTATTGTAGGTGCTTCTTTTCAAGTAGGTATTGTATAATAGTCTTGTGTTTTAATAATAATTTAGTATAGTATCTTTGTACCTATAGATTCTTCGTATTATAAAGATGAATTATTTAATTAGGTTCTTTATAGGCTTAGTGATTTTGTAAGTATAATAATTAATTTTCAATTAAAGTGATATAATAAAACCATGAAATTTCAAATTTTTTTTGTTGAGATTTTTTGTCTTAATGGTCCTTTGGGATCCCTCAAACTCCTTACACTGAATTATTTTGAGATGTGGAGCCGGACTCTATGAAAAAAGGCACTCAGGAAAATTTTAAATTGCTTAACACGATTTTATTTCTGGAACTATAAGTCTATATGAGCTAAAATTCAGGGATTTTGGTCCTCTACTGGAATAGGAATCGCTGAAAATTTCAGCTTTCTATCTATAATAGAAATCAAGTTACGACCTTTGAAAGTTTTCCAAAATCTATATCCTAAGGTACTAAAACAATGAAATTTCTAAATTTTTTTTTGTTGAGATTTTGTGTCTTAATGGTCCTTTGAGACCTCCGAACTCCATCTACTAAATTATTCTAAGATTTGGAGCCGGAATCTATGAAAAAACGCACTCAGAAAAATTGAAAAATTGATAAATCACCCCAAATTGCTTTACACGATTTTATTTCTGGAACTATAGGTCCATATGAGCTGAAATTTTCGGGGATTTTAGTCCTCTACTAGAATAGAAATCGCTGAAAATTTCAGGTTTCTATCATCTATAATAGAAGAAAAGTTGTTATCTTTTGAAAGTTTTCCAAAATATACGAAAGCCCTGAAGGGCCATGCATATTAAAAAGAAAGTGACAATTTCTAGATAACAATCCAGTGGCGAATACAGAGGGGGCAGGGGGGCAACTGCCCCTCCCCTTTTTAAAATAAAATAATAAAATTAAAAAAAAAAAGAAAACAAAACCATATAGGGAATCCCATTTGAGAAAAGCTGGAAGCATGCATTCTGATATTCAAATTTTGTTTCTGACCATGGTTTCTAGAAATTTAGCCAAAACTCTGTACAATTTTTGTATTTACACCTTTCTTCTACCTGTGAAGGTAAAGGCTGTAGGTGGGGTGTCAATATATATAAAAAAAAAACACCCTGTACAAATAAGTGGATTATTGCGGACTTGAGTGGACCTCTGCGGGACGAGCGTAGCGAGTTCCGCAGCCATCTACCCACCAATATACTGCTGAACTGTTCAAATAAGCCACTCACCTAAAACGTGTAGTTTTTAAACTAATGAGAAAAATTCACAACTGAGTGAAACAGGTTAGTATTGTACAATACATGGTGAATAGATGGCTGGGTCCACCCATAAGTTCCGTAACAATTCACTCATTTGTACTTGAATAACTTGTCACATTATGTTACTAGTTTAGTAAAGTAACATTACTAATTCCTGTTGAAAGGCAAATTGACAAAATGCGAATACCTAATCATAATCTTACAAATTTTGACTTTATATAATAAGTTATTGTTCAAGTACAAATAAGTGAATTATTGCGGAACTTATGGGTGGACCCAGGGCCGGCCCTACCATAAGGCGAATGGAGCGAGCGCTCCAGGCGCCAGACCTCGAGGGGCGCCTCCGACTTGTTCCTTGGTGAAAAAAAAAGAGAAAAATATGTTTCTGAAATCTGTTTATCCGAACGATATTTTTGTATTACAGCCTATGGCCTAATTTTTGATTTTTTCTCTGGAAATCTGGGAAACTGGGAAATGTAGAATTTTTTGATATATCTAGGAGCCTTTTAGCTTTGACATACCAAAATTTGATTGGATGAAAACCAAAGATAGCTGAGTTACGATTTTTTTAATCCGAAGCTCCATTGAGTGATATTTTTGCATTACAGCCTATGGCCTGATTTCTGATTTTTTTCCTGGAAATCTGGAAAACCTGGAGGAGCCAAATATTTTTTGGCTTATTGAGGAAGCTTTCGGTTTCAACATATTGAAATTTTATTGAAAAATAGTTCAGGATAACCGAGCTATGATTTTTACAATTAAATAGACACACTTAGTGATATCTTTGCCATGGCCTGATGGCCTCATTCTTATTTTTTTTTCTAAAAATTCTGGAAACTTGTATTAACCAGATATTTTTTTATTTATTAAGGAAGCTTTTAGCTTCAACATACTAAAATTTTATAGAGAAATAGCCCAGAATAACGGAGCTATGATTTTTACAATCAGACAGACATCTTTGCCATAGCCTGATTGCCTCATTCCTGATTTTTTTTTTCTAAAAATTCTGGAAACCTAGATTAACCAATTTTTTTTTATTTACTAAGGAAGCTTTTAGCTTCAACATATTGAAATTTTATGGAGAAAAAGTCCAGGATAACGGAGCTATGATTTTTACAAACAGATATAGACACACTGCTCTGAATCCTGTCTTCGCTTTTCGATATTCTGCTATTCTGCTTGCGAGCAAAAGGGTGGTAAGTCTGTGACAAGACAGCAGCTGAAACCCAGCCAGTAGGTAGGAAGAGCCCAGCTGGCGTCTAGCAATACCAATTCCTGTGCCTGTGGCGCCTATACTGAATCTCTCCTATTAAAGGGGGTGTAACCTTAAAATACAACTTGTATTCAAAAAATAAAGAAGAAAATTCTAAGAACTCTTGTGAAAATCTCGCATCGCTACTCAAAATAATAAGGTAGATACGACTAAATAAAATTATGTCTATTCATCGTGTGACGTCATAAATACACACAAAAATTGCAAAACCTATTTAAACTGACGCAGCAATAGATGTGAGAACGCAAAAACGATACGATAATGTCGATAATAGCTCTTTTCCAACCGACATAAGAAAAGTTCTAGAACGGTTATTTCCAGTTGATCAATTCATTTGTCAAGTAGAATAAATATTCAACTTATTGAAAAATAGGTGGACAACTGGGAATTACTGGTTCTGGAACGGTTCTCCTGTCTGAGGTAACATATGCAGCAAGAATCAGCATACGCGCGCCAGCGCCGGCTGTCGGACTCAGTTTGTGCATATGACGTCACAGTGCTAGGAGTAGGAATTTTATATCACAGTATCTTCGCAACGGTTGGTCGTAACCTAGTGCGGTTTGAAAATTTGTACTTAGATTGTAACTCCTGATATTCATGTTTCTATGATCTATAATATAATCCTCGTCCAATATGAATATATAGGCAAATAAAAAAAAATGATGCCCCATTTACATGTAAAGTTCGTAAGAATCATCCATAATTTACATCACGACAAATATGAGCCACTCTATTGAATGCTAAATCAATGTTTGGACAATAATGTATTGCTAAAAAAATTCCTGTTATAATTTGATTTTTCTAAAACTTATTTTTGGGTCACACCCCGTTTAAGATTATCGATAGCAATAATTAAATTTGTTTTTAATTTGAATAATACTTGAAAGAAAAAATACCTAAATTATTTTTTGAAGTATTTCTACGTGAATGTCATTTCAAGTACCTACGCAAGTTTAAGTTACACTCAACCAAATAGTAGCATAAATAAAAAGAAGTTGTTCTTTGATTTAATGAACATGATTAAAATCGGTCCAAAGAACGGCTTCTTTGATCACATGAACTCTACGTTATTGAAGTATGAACAATTTCTTAATTCCTATTTCGATTCATCTTGTGTATGAACAACGAACATTAAGGTATGGTATGTAGCAAGGTTTTTGTATTAATGAAACTTTTCATAGTAACAATAAACATCGTTCTTAGTTTATATGTACTTTTTCATTGTCCTGATGAACAGACGGCATAATATTAATGAAGCCCAGATATAATTTGATGAAACCCTTTCATTGTATTTATGAATCACAGTCTTGAATACTAAGAATTTCATTCATTGTATTTATTAATGACGTTTTCAATAATATGTACCATATTCTTTATTTTTATTAAAATAATTTCATGAATTATGCCTTAAATATACTTATGATTTTAAATGGGGTAAAGGGTCATTTTTTATATTTGCGTGTCCCCTGTACTGATGAATATGAGCAATAGGAAAAAAGCTTTTAATGCAAAAGTTGCATGGTTTCTTCGTATCATCTTCCAGAATTGTCAAACAAACCAATGGGCATCCCAAAATCTGAAAATTTAAAAATCTAAGTACCTACTTATGTATTTTTATTTTAAATGACACTAACCGTATATTCTATTATCTTTCAAATCCTCCTTAAATCCTGTTTCCATAAATATATAATATATCTATATTTGTTCCAGCTGTTTTTGAACTATCTACATCCAAAGTTTCTAAAACAAGCCACATCAGAAAATTAGATTTGATGCCTTGGCTGGTTTTCTTGCCTCGGCTATGAAACACTAGCTGCGGTATTGAATCTTCTGCTTTTCTACCTAGTGAAAAAAAACCATTTAACAAAAATATATCGATTAAAAAAATTACAACTTGATTTGAGATTGGGTATACTTACTTTTACAGACTTCAGTATTCCTTAGAAATTCTGAGGAGCTCTTGACGCTTTTGTCTTTCACGTTCTCCCCGGATGAAATTTAAATCTCTAGGTCATTTCTTTCGCATTCCCATTTTGAGACCAGACCGTCTCCGTGCAAGGCATCAAAGTCCTACCTACATAATAGGTATACATATTATAGAGGTAATAGAGGTATACAACTTACCTTTAGAAAAAACCGGCGACAGGTATAATCGACTTTCTATTTAACACTTCGAACAACACAAAACCGAAAAAACCGACTTGAACGAAGTGCGTAGCAATGCACCCAGAAAATAGAAATGTAATTATTCCTATTTCAACATATTTTTCTATGTCGTTGCCCGACTACAGCTACCTTTGCGCATGTGCTTAGGAACTGTCTACATGAATGCTATGAACTGTTTCATTGTATTTATGATTTATCTTGATGTAATGGTTGCAGCTTTGTTTCTAGGAATACTTGCTTGTTTTAAATGAACCGTACATTGTATCAATGAATTTCGTTCTTAAAAGGATGTTTCTAGTAAGGTTATATGAACCATATTCATATTATTCATGTTAATATTCATTTATATTATGAATATTCCGTGGAAGCTTCCATCAAAGAAATTTTCTTTAATATCAAGGTTTAATTTCATAATATCAATGAACTTAGTTCTTGTAACCGATGCACTATTCAACATAG